TTAATGAATTATTGTCGTTTAAATTAATGTCACTTTCTTTTTTTAATTTAATGAATGTAATTTTTTAAAATTATTGTCGTTTCAATTTCTTTAAATTTAATGAATGTATTTTTTTATTATTCTTGTTTCAATATAATGAAAAAATTAAATTTTATTAATTTAGTTTTAGAATATGTATATTTAAAAATGTAAAAAATGAAGGTTTGAAGCCCCAGTTTGAAGCCCCGGGGCTTCAAACCCATTTCCACTGAATCTGTGAGGTAAGTTAAAGCTGACGTGGCAAAGAGAGAAATTTTGAAGCCCCGGTTTGAAGCCCCGGGGCTTCACGGGTATTTCCAGTGCTCTCACAAAATAAAATTTAGGAAAGAGGTTATGTCGTCCATATATTGTGTCTCTCCTATACACAGAGTATATCACACACCATAAGTATAACACCCTAATTCGTATAACCTAAAATTACATGTATCGTATTAATGTGATATGAAGCTAAATGAATTTTCCAAAACATTTCAATTAACAATACATAGACTCAACATTAAAATTTCAGACTCTAGATCGTGACCCATTTTGTTGGCGACAGAAGAAGAAGCCGGATCAAAGAAGGAAACTGAATCTCTTTGGGATTTGATTTAGTATCTTTCCTAGTTTGTTTATTTCTTGTTTTAGTAGGAACAGAAATATGGTAGGAATAGAAGTTTACTTATATGCTTTACTCTTTTCCTATATAAAGAGGGTTAGACCTTTGTATTCACAAGCCAATTCAATATACGAACTATTTTCTCTCTTATTAATTTCTACATGGTATCAGAGCAAGTTTTGAATTCTTGAGACCTCAAACACGCTTCTTACCCTGCCGGTGGGCATACACAATTCAATGCCTACCGGCGGGATATTGTAATTTTTGATTTTCTTTGATTGTTCTTCCTCACTAAAGAATATCATGAACTCCTTCAACGAAGAACATTGCTGTCAAGGAATTCCGCCCAACCATCAATCTTGAAAAAGTTGTCCGAGAAGGGTTGTTCTACAGAGACAGACAACTCTTTCCTTAGCAGGCAATAAAAAAAAGTCGGCGTTCAGGGTGTTCGAAAAGAATGGCGTTCCCCCTGTTTGTTCGAACACGGTGAAGGTTCAAAAAGAATGGTGTTCCTTTACTCGACTGATTATTTGGCGGATTCAAAAAGCTTGGCGTCTCCGTTGAAGAAAAAAATGAAGTGTCAAGATGACACTTGGACAGCGATGGCAGCGACTTCCTCAAGCTTTGTTGCTTTGTTCAATCTTTTGATGTCCAAGCTGGGCATATTGAACTCCCATGCTCCAGCTTGAGGGAGGTGTTGGCGACAGAAGAAGAAGCTAGATCGAAGAAGGAAACTGAATCTCTTTGGGATTTGATTTAGTATCTTTCCTAGTTTGTTTATTTCTTGTTTTAGTAGGAATAGAAATATGGTAGGAATAGAAGTTTACTTATATGCTTTATTTTCTTCTTATATAAAGAGGGTTAGACCTTTGTATTCACAAGCCAATTCAATATACGAACTATTTTCTCTCTTATTAATTTCTACACATTTAAAAATACTTTTAGAGTAAAGAGGATTTACAACAACTATTAAATTCTCCGTAATAGACTGACGATTATTGTTCAGTGGTACCCGGCGATTATGTTTTAGCGATAGCAAAATTCAATATAAAAGAGTTGTATTTATTCCTGTGTAGTGTTCACACGGATTGGTGCAAAAAAAAGTTTTTTATTAAGACAAAGTATATATATATATATACACATACATACATACATACATACATACATATATATATATATATGTGTGTGTGTGTGTGTGTGTATGTATATATATATATGTATATGTATATATATATATATATATATATATATATATAAAATAAGTTTTTTATTGGTGCAAAAAAAGTTTTTTATTTACACGCAAACGTTAAAATATGAGATATAAAATAAGACCAAAAATAGACTTATCAGTACCAAACTCGAACTTGTGAATAATTCACATGCGCTCGCGCGCGCACACACACACAGAGATATATATATGTGTGTGTGTGTGTGTGTGTATATATATATATGTGTGTGTGTGTGTGTGTGTGTGTGTGTGTATATATATATATATATATATAGTTAGCCTTGGTATGCTCACCCTTTTGTTTTGATGTTAACAAATAATTTAATTGAGTTAACGTTTGTTCAATTGTGTAGAAACATCAAAACCCTCTAAAACGCATTGATTGTGTTAGTACCTAAAACTTTTTCATTTTCTAAATAATACTTGAACAATGTCTAGTGACGGTGGATATTTATTTTGAACAATGTCGAGTGACTGTAGATATTTACTAGGACAATGTCTAGTGGGCATTGAACATTGGTACTACATTGAAAAAAATAAAGCCTCACTATGTTATAGTACTATATAGGTAAGTTTCCATTTTGTAATTAAAATCAAAATAAAAGGTAAATTAAGGGGGTGTTTATGTGTGCTGATGTTTATTGCCTCGTTGGTGATAATCAGTTTTTGACTTATAAGTTATTTATAAGTCAAATATTTTTTTATAGGAGCAAAATGAATTAAATGATAGAAAAATCATTTGAAAATATTCATAAACTGTGGGGGATAGTTTTGTAAATAATTAGATCAAAACGAAGAAATAAAAAATTGGTTTAAAAATAAGTAAGTAATACTTATCTATTTTTTTGACTTACAAACAATTTAAAAGCACGGATATATATGTTATTTGCTAACTTATAAATTTAAAATTACCTATAAACAATTTTAATCAATTTATAAGTACACCAAAAAACACACTAAAACCATTTGAAATTGTTGGTGAGAAAAGTAAAACAATAGGACAAACACAACCAAAAAACAAGGCCAAAAAGTGGAGGCAATAAAAGGTGGACGCGTGGGACGGTTGCCCCGTTCTTCTTTCCCCGCAGTCCCTCCCTCACCCTTTTTTGCACTACAAAATATACTCTCATCATCACCTCTTCTCCATCCCCCTCACTTCTCGCCTTCCTTCCACTCAATTTGCTCCCAGCCCTCCCGGCATAACCGTAGCCGCCGCCGCCTCTAACAAGGTATATTCTGCTTGATTATCAGCAAAATCTCCATTTATTTATACCTTACACCACGGTTTCCTTCGAAATCAAATCCGATTTCATAGACCATTTCCGTGTCCAATCTCAATGCTCGATAGAGTTTGATTCAATCACTGGAATAATTTGAGTAGATTATTATCGCGTGCCTATGGATTTTGATGAATTTATTGTTGATTTGGTGTAATAATCTGTAATTCTGTTCTACAGAGTATCATCTATGGAAATGAAAAAAGCTGCGAGGAATCTAATCTAACCTTCTCTTCTTTTGATTTTCGCATCTGTATTTGAATCTTCAATATCTCGCTTCAGGCCTGAAGATTGACGGATTGTAGCGCCTCAGAAATTCACTGATTGATACGATGGAGTCATCGTCTTCGATCGGGAATCCAGATGTCAACCCTAACCGATCCCGGAAAATGCGGAGAACGATCGGCGACTCGGACCGGGATCGGCCGCAACCGACCTGCGTCGATGGGCTGAGGTGGAGAACCCAGGCTGCCCGGCAGATCTACTCGTCGAAGCTCGTGAATGCCCTCCGTCAAGTTCGCCGGAGAAATATGACGCCGTCTCCCGCCGTCGCCGGCCGCGCCATCCGGGACACGGCTTATAGAGTCCTCGCCGTCGCCGCCAAGGGAAGGACGCGCTGGAGCAGAGCAATTCTCGCCGGCCGGCTCAGTAAAAAGCACAAGAGAGCCCCAGCAAGAGCCATACCCGGCGATATCCGGTCGAAGAAGCCGGCGGTCGCGAAGAGGCTGCCGCCGCTGCAAAGGAAGGCGCGCGTCCTCGGCCGGTTAGTTCCCGGTTGCCGGAAACTGCCGTTCCCGAACCTTCTAGACGAAGCTACCGATTATATTGCAGCTCTGGAGATGCAAGTGAAGGCCATGAGCGTTCTCGTCGAGCTTCTCAACCGCGCCGGAATGGGAATTTTACTGCCTAATCCCGACCGGCTCCGGCTTGGCTCGGAACAGTCTCAAGGCTCGGCTGCACGTGACTTGCGCTGAGCTGTATATTCTTTTTCTTTATTTTTATGGAAAAAAAATCTATATATATTTAAAATATTTTGTTAATATGTGAGGCCTTCATTATATTTCCGAGTATTTTCATTTTTTTTATTGTATACAATTCCTCTTGGCCACAAATCCCACAATCTCTTTATTTGTTTTCCCATTGATTGGTTTGATTTGTGATTAACAAATCTTATTTGGGGAGTTACTTAAATAATACTCCGTACTAAAACATAATGACTTTTCCTAAATAGCACTACATGTATTTTTATTCTCAATGTAGCACTTTTAGTCATTATTCAAGTAAATATTCGTCATCACTAGACATTATGAACATTATTAAGTGCTATTTAGGGAATAAAACAATTGAAGTGCTATTTAGAGAAATGAGTTAAGTTTTAGTACAATTTAGTAGTGCAAATATTTCATCTTATTTATTGGTTTATTTATTTATTTATCTATTATTGGTTGACTAATGGAACATGCCAGCAATTATCATCACGTGTTTAATGGTGCTATTCCTACATCTTTTGTACTCCGTAAATATTATCTTGGGTGTTTGACAAATATTGGCAGCAAATTTTTGAGATATTGAAAAAAGTGCTTTTGATGCACATGATAAGACAAACACCTCACACGAAAAATTTAAACGATAAAATTTAACTAACGTTGTTAGCATGTATTCGTTGTCCATTTAATAAATAATACCCGGAGTATAGTCATATCACTGCTCATTATGTCGATCCTTTGATAGTTTTAAAAAATATGTAATTTTTCATGGAAAAAACTGTAGGAATAAAATATTGAAAATATACGAAATTAAGAGTTTTATTATTTATTTTCGAAATAAAAGTTGAAATGCATTTACATTACAAATCATGACCATGTATATTACCAACAAATATAGTAATATTACCATGTAAAATGCACATGTACATGAGTACATTACCAAAGTGTGAATTTCTATTTAAGAAATAAAAACATAGAACAAAATTTATACAAATTCCTTTCAATAAACAATTTACACGAATTAATACTCGCTCCATCCATAAATGAATTTCTCACGTGCTATTTTCAAGGTCAAATTTATTCACTTTATTTAATTTTTTTCATTACTCACTTCCTAATATAATTTATTAATGTCATTGAGTATTTTATAAAATTTTTATAGTCTTTAAATATATACATAGTATTTATTAATAAATAAATTAAATAAAAATAACTTCAATTAAATCTTTTGAACTGAAATGAAAAAAGTATTTTTTGGATGGAGTAACACAAATAACTACTCCGTAGCAATGAGCAATCTAGCATGAACGTCTGTTTCCAAATATCTAGGCATCTAGCTAAGAAACTATTACATGTTGGAAAAAATAAGGAGTTGAAAAAAGATACAAAGAGTTAAAAAAAGAAGGTATTATAAAATGTTGGAAAACTTAAAATGAAAATTTTTTATCCAAATAAATATGTAAAAAAACATTTTTTTATATAAAAAATATCAAAATTCATCTCTGTCTGTGATTGAAGGGTTATATTATAAATTTGGATATTTAGTGTCATTGTATAGTCCCCTAAGAAGACTTTGCACGAATTAGTCGAGAGAGATCTTTTTTGTTCGAATAAATCTCAACCACAAAGTTTTTAATTTCTCTTGGATGTTGACCAATCAAACTAGACATCTCGTATTTTATACTCCCTCCGTCTATTAATTTCTTTTTCACTTTCTTTTTTGGATTGTCCAAAAAGTTCTTTTCCGTATCCTATTTTGACAAAAATTTTATAATGATTGTGTCATTATACCCCTACTTTTTATCAATACTATTTACTTTATTCTATCACATCTAGGGCAATACATAAATTTTTTTTACACTTTTTAACTTTTCTTAATCTCCGTACCAAATTAAAGGAATTTTTTTAAGACCAAAGGAGTATTTTTTAGACAGACATAGAAAGAACATACCGAAGAGCTAACTCATATAAGTATGGTGTCATTTGTGTGTCAAATAGGCATTTATATGTTTAGTCATTTTCATTTCTAAGTAGACCAACAATTCTTTTTCTTACATCAGCAAAGTTAAAACTTAAAAGATAGAAGTAAAACTTATCTGTACATATTTATACAAAACAATTCCTTCACATCAACAATTGCAAATCTAACCACCATTAACAAACATAAAACATACCATTAGAATTTTAATTTTCAAAAAATATAATATATACTCCCTCCGTTTTTTAAAACACTTCCTCTTTCATTTTTTTCACTTCCAACAAAACACTTCCACTTTCTATTAAAAAACCACTTTTACCCTTACTTTTTCATACCCTACCTATCACATCATACTTTATCTCTAATAATCTATCCATCACATCTTACTTTTACCTATCACATCAAGGGCAAAATTAGAAGTCAACTACAATTTAATACTTCCTTATTTTTACACAAAGTCAAAATAGGAACACTTTTTACAAACGGATGGAGTATATCATTAGAATATATATATATATATATATATATATATATATATATATATATATATATATATAACCTTGTAAATTAATTATCCTAACGTCCATGGATTTGTTTCAAATCCAATTGTTAGCTCTTACACACTTGTCCACGTCTCAGTGTATTTAATTTGTTTTGTGTGTTCAATCATTTTGCTAATGAGAGTGTGAGACCATAATTAGAATGAATTGATCTTTTTTGAAATTTCATTTGTTATAAGTTCCAAATTAAAATTACTGTAAAAATAGGTTGGAACGAACGAGAGACATTTATTTTATTTTTATTTTTTTATTTTTGGGAAGCAGAAGAAGGAAGGAGAGGCATGATATATAGCTGGCTGTATGATAATAGCGCCAAAAGAAAAGAAAATTAGCAACGGCCGCCCGTCATTTGCTTACATTTTCACGTGCGCCCTCACCCCACCACGATATTGCACATGCACACAACTTCCGCCCGTTCCGGCCTTCTTATTTCTCATATTGTAGAGTTTGACTTTTTTTATTGTTCACTTTGATTTTTTTTGTTAAATTGTGATATTCTTTGATCGTAAATTATAAAAATGTATATTTTGTTATAATGTAAATTTAGTAAAATGATATTTATTTTAAATTATAGTTTTAAAATAGAGAAAATTACTTAAATAGGACTAAAACATAATGACTTTCCCAATATAGGATCATATATTTTTATTTCCCAATGTAGGACCTTTGGTCATTATAAAGTAGTCATTATTCAAGTAAATATCCATCATTACTGAACATTATTACTCTCACTAGGTCATTATTAAGTCTTATTTAGGGAATAAAAAAATTCAAGTCTTACATTGGGAAAGTCATTATGTTTTAGTCCTATTTAGTGCAAATTTCACTTTAGAATATCAAACTTTTATAACATTTGATTATTTTAAACTATATTTAATTCGTGATCAAATCATACCACAATTTGACCAAAAAAATCAAACTGTGATAATCTTTTAGAGACGAGAGAGTATTACCTTATGCGGAAAAAAAGAACCCCGTCACTCACCTAGGGTCCCCTCCGAGTCGTCCAGACCGTCTCCTAAATTGAGTTATGGTCCTAGTCTAGCTAGTAAGTAAAAAATAGAAATTCACTTTTATTAAACACCCTGCTTAATCATGGTTGTTGCCATTCATCGCTCTTACTCCTTCCGTTTCACAAAACAATTTCGTCTTAATGTTTTGCACATCTTATAGAAAACTTTTACTCTCACCTAAAATCCTAGTGAATACGCCTCGTTTCTGCTTTATTCTGGGTAGAAGTTTATTTGGGAGTATTTTAGGGCATGCTTAGGAATAATGTTAGAAATTGACGTTAGTATTTTGAAAAGATTATTTAAGAGCAATGTTTAGCATTAACATTTTCAAAGTAATTTACATCGTTAAAATTTTATCTAACGTTAATCTCTAACTTTATTTCCAAACAAGCCTTTAGACATTTTAAGAGATGAGTAAAAATGTTTGGAGATGGGCAAAAAATTACTCCTTAGAGTGGAATATATAGTACGGAGTAATTAAATACAGTAAGAAGTTAATTTAAATTTTGCAATATTAATTAAGATGTAAAAGGGGCACAATAATGTATGTTTTGAACACGACCCTTGAAGATATAGGACCGGCCACATTAAACTAGTTTGAAATGGAAAGGGCAAGAGGGACAGAAATTTGAGGGGTGCAAGGGGATCTCAACATTTAATGTTTGTTTGTGCACTGACATTAAATTTTCGTGTGTCTCTGTATTGACCTTGGTATACATTTGGTGTTAAAATCTTGGGATTCCCCTAACATTTTTGCAAAAATAAGGGCATCACCAATGCTTTGAGTTTTAGGACTTCAATATTTACTATTTTCATATTTACTATTTTCATATTTTTTAAAGTCTTTTTGTAAGTTACCACAATGCTCAACTCTCTCACACTTGTCACACCAGCTTTCCCTTATCTTTTATTCCATCAACTCTTTCTATTAGATCAATTATCTAGTGTACAATTGTCTGATACATTTATTTTTCTACATAACTTATTTATAAAAACTCAACAATAGGGCTAAATATTACTCCGTACAAAGTATTTATTAAAATTAGAGAAAATTGTACTCCCTCCGTCCCAAAAAAATTGAGACATTTCGACTAAAGTGGTAAAATAGGGAGAGATATTTTGGTATTAACTTTCCAAAAATATCCTTGATGTGATGGGTAAAAGTAGAATGTGATGGATAGATTATTAGGAAAAAGGTAAGGTATGATGTGATGGATAGGGTATGAAAAAGTAAGGGGTAAAAGTCATTTTTTAATAGAAATGGAAAGAACTTTAAGTGACACAAATTTTTCGAAACGTAACTGACTTTTTGGGACGGAGGGAGTATAAAGTAAATTGACACACAAATTCAATAAAGTAAAAAAAGTATGGAGTACATTTCATTAAAATTACTTTCTCCAAAATTGAGTTGTCTGTTTATTACTTATAGATAGCCAAACTTCTTTCACTTTATTTTTTTGTTTCTGTTTTCGTTAGTTATTTGTAAAATAATATAGTTGTGTCATATCAAGTTTCGTACATTTTTTAATGTAGTTTTTTAAATCGATCCCAATTCTCAAATTAAATAAATTAGATTCAAAATAACATTAGTCAAATATCGTAAACCAAATACATGCAATTCAATATGGGAAGGGAGTACATGCATAAGTATAAACACGCATAGAGTGTACATTGAATAAAATAAAAATAAAGGCACAACAAATGTTTTTGGTTTTTTACGTATTGTTTTAATGTACTTTTAACATTTTTTATTTTTTAACATTTTTTTAGTAAAACAATGATAGCTAATTGGTATTACTTGAAAATAATTGTAACTGAGTATATGTGTCTGATTTTTATAAGATAAATTCTGTTCAGAATTTTTTAAAAGTCTCGGAATTCAAATATTCTCATCTAGCTAGGCTACTTTAAAACTCTCATTGAGAATACTCTAAGAACATCTTTAGTGGCGGGTTCTTACAGGGAGTTCGTAACTAAGATACCGGTGCTTCACCAAGCAGTTCTTTTGAAAACGAAGCAACTGACTCTCCATATGTGTGCACCAAATAAGTTTCACAATACCGTTTTTCAGCAAAACTATTGTGCGGAATTCGAGAATAACAAATATGAACGAGAAAAACACGACAACAGATTTAACGTGGTTCACCAATGTTGTGTTGGCTAGTCCACGGGGGAAGAGGGGGAGCAGTTTTATTTCTGATTGGAGAGGCAAGAACAGAGTACAGAATACCCCCGGTTTGTGGTAGCACCCATATATATAGTGCTTAGCTAAACCCTAACAGACTTGGGCCCCAAACTACAGAATTAACAGATACTTAGAAAGCCCAATTAGAGTAGGGTTCGGATCTCTCAAGATTCGGATTTCTCGGAATTCGGATTTCTCGACTTCTCTGGAATTCGGATTTCTCAGAAGCCAGACTTCTCCGGATCCGGATTTCTCCGAAGTTGGACTTCTCCGGATCTGGAGCTGTAACGGATCAGATTCAAGGCATTACAACAAATCTCCACCTTGACTTGAATTCTCCATACAGATTCTTCAGATGCACCATGGTTGTGCCAGATCTCCCCTTCTTCCTCAGAATTGCCCCCCAGGGCAACTAACAGCTTCTGATGTTAAGCAAGTCCAAACAGTGTTGAAACTTGCTTTGCGGAACCGGCTTTGTGAACATATCAGCAGTTCCTACTTTCTTCACCTGGATTCTCCTCACTCCTCAAAAAAAAACCCGCAGATGTACCAGATTTCCTTCCAAAAGTGACCAAATGTACCATAGGTACCAAAAGTCCAACCAAAAGACACAAATGTCACTAAAAGACAGGAACAGATTGTTTCACTTGAGTTCAGAAGTGTTGTGAAACACCAAAGCAGATTTCCCTTGCGCATGGGGAACAGATTACTCAAGCTAAAACACCAACAGATGCAAACTCCACATTGAGTCCAAATGACTCTTCATGGAACCTAAACAGAAACAACCTAAACAGAAACAAATGACACCAACCTAGTGTCCAGATGACTCCTCTTGAAGTCCAGATTGCCCTTCATGGGTCAGATTGCTCCAAACGGGCCCAGATTGCCCCCTCCCGGGGCACAGATCACCTCATTGAGGCGTAGAAACAGATTATTCTTCTAGGTGATCAAGAGTCTCAATCCGTGCAGATGGAACCTCCACCTTAACATCAAGACTTTCATCACCTCTATGAATCTCAGATGCAACAATGACCGATCCCTGTAGAAGATATAAGGTACCATGTTTAATACCTTTCAGAACCACCTTCGAATCCTTGTAGACACTCATAACTCCACCTTTACCTTCGAAACTGAAACCCTTACTGTCAAGACGAGTCAAGGATATCAGATTCTTCGTCATCTGTGGAACATGCCTAACTTTATTCAAGGTGCAAAATGCATCATCATGAGTCCTCAACCTGATGGAGCCTATTCCAACTACCTTGCAAACAACTCCGTTGGCCATGGAAACATCACCCTCGTTTATCTGCTCATAAGTTGAAAACAACTCCCTATATGGACTAATATGATACGACGCCCCAGAATCAAGAACCCACACATCCTTACAATGTGTTTGGTTATTGACAAATAGAACCAGATCTTCTTCAGAGTTTGTATCATCAGCTTCTGCCATAGTTGCAGAACCGTGAGCATCCTCGATCTTGTCCTTTTTCTGCATCTTCTGCTTAGGACAATCAAACTTCCAATGCCCTGGTTCTTTGCAGTAATTACAGACATCATCCGGCNAATATGATACGACGCCCCAGAATCAAGAACCCACACATCCTTACAATGTGTTTGGTTATTGACAAATAGAACCAGATCTTCTTCAGAGTTTGTATCATCAGCTTCTGCCATAGTTGCAGAACCGTGAGCATCCTCGATCTTGTCCTTTTTCTGCATCTTCTGCTTAGGACAATCAAACTTCCAATGCCCTGGTTCTTTGCAGTAATTACAGACATCATCCGGCCTTGCACCCTTTGACGACGACTTTCTTTCCTTCTTCTTTCCACTGTATTCCTTCCCCTTTCCTGTACTGGTAAAAAGACCAGAAGGTTGTACATCTGTACTCGTGCCGTTAGCCTTATGCCGCAATTCCCTGCTATGAAGGGCCGATCTAACTTCTTCCAGAGATACAGTGTCTTTCCCAACAATGAACGATTGAACAAAATTTTCAAACGATATTGGGAGAGATACCAACAGAATCAGGGCAGCATCTTCATCCTCGATCTTCACATCGATATTACGCAATTCTAATAGCAAAGTATTTAATTGCTCTAAATGTTCCCTGAGTGGTGTACCTTCAGCCATTCGTAAACCGAATAGACGTTGTTTCAGAAGTAGCTTGTTGGTTAAAGATTTCGTCATGTACAGACTCTCCAACTTTAACCACAAGCCAGCAGCAGTCTCCTCGTCTGAGACCTCCGTGATAACGTCATCTGACAGACACAGCATGATCGTCGAATGCGCCTTCTCTTCCAGAGTCGCCATCTCAGGAGTAGCAACGGCGTTTTTGTCTTTCGACAACGGCGCCCAGAAGCCTTGTTGTTTCAACAAAGCCCGCATCTTGATCTGCCATAAACTGAAACTGTTCCTCCCTGTGAATTTGTCAATTTTCATGTTCAAAGCTGACATCTCTTCCTCGCCCAAAATAGAAAATCTAAGACTAGATTATCTCAATTTGTTCAGATAAGAGATCAACAGCCAAATTTCTCCAAGGGTCAACCCAACTCCAAGCTCAAAACCACCAAATAAAAGCCCACCCACAAAGCACCAAATAAAGAAAAATGGGGCTGACCAAATTGCACAGTTGACCGTACCTACCCACCTTTTATTTCTTCTTTCTCTTTCGGTCCTGCAAAACAAAAGCTTCCCCTTTTATTTTGTTCGGTGGATGAGATGGGCAACAGCTGGAACAGTCGGCGATAGCAACTCGACGGTGGCGGCACAAAATCTAGACGATGTTGATGGCTCGCGGCTGAGCAGCGGCGGTGGTGGTCTGTGCTGCTCGCGATGGTCAACTGACGGCGGTAATCTGCCTACTGCGCGACGACGGCAGCGGCGCGGTTCAGATCTCCACTCAAGCGGCGGCTGTTCTACGGTGGCGCCTGGACGGATCAGCGGCTACTCCCGCGTGGCTGACGGTGGTTCGGGGCTGCGCGTGGATCCTCAATCGAACAACAGGACAACGGCGACTTCTCAACGGCTTCCCCTATCAGCGGCCACAGATTCTCAGTGGCTACAGGTTCTCAACGGCACCCGATCCAGATCTCCAAAACCTAGGTGACAACTTAGGCTCTGGTGTTGGTCGTGTTCTTTGTTGAACAACCTTGGCTCAGATACCAGTTTGTTGTGCGGAATTCGAGAATAACAAATATGAACGAGAAAAACACGACAACAGATTTAACGTGGTTCACCAACGTTGTGTTGGCTAGTCCACGGGGGAAGAGGGGGAGCAGTTTTATTTCTGATTGGAGAGGCAAGGACAGAGTACAGAATACCCCTATAGGGTTTGTGGTAGCACCCATATATATAGTGCTTAGCTAAACCCTAACAGACTTGGGCTCCAAACTACAGAATTAACAGATAATTAGAAAGCCCAATTAGAGTAGGGTTCGGATCTCTCAAGATTCGGATTTCTCGGAATTCGGATTTCTCGACTTCTCCGGAATTCGGATTTCTCAGAAGCCAGACTTCTCCGGATCCGGATTTCTCCGAAGTTGGACTTCTCCGGATCTAGAGCTGTAACGGATCAGATTCAAGGCATTACAACAAAAACAATTCTATAAGAACTTGTTACTAAAGATGCTCTAATAATATGTTTGGTAGATGGATGAGACTATTTGAAATGTAAAATGGAAGATGTTGGATCAAGCATTTCCCAACATTTACAACTACTGTAAATTATTATCGGTTTTCGGTTCGTCGTGAAGGATAAATTCTAAGGCATGCAGAAAATAATGTACGCAGCAGTTCGCTCCAATCAACTAACTTTGACCCTTCTTATCTCTATCTATGGAGTAGTAATTGTTAACCTAATAATGTTTGTGAATTGTGATTTTGACTCATGTTTAAACTAATGGATTTTTTTACACTATCCTATTCTTTATTTTCACACTATACAAACATTCCCCCCCCTCTCATATCTTTTTAATTTGATTTTTCACCTTCTTCAATGCGATACTTTGACCACTAATATTTGTATTTATATATAAATATAGATTATAAAAATATGATTTTTTAAAACTACTTTTCAAAATGAATCTATTGGTATTAAATTTATATCACAATTCAATGTAATCATATCGCAATTTTGTGGTTAAAGTTTAAAAAAATTAATCAAAAAAGTCAAAACTAGAAGAAAAGATATGAGAGACGGATGAAGTAATTTTTGTCTATATTCGCTACTTCTTAAGATATCTTTATGGATAAGAGTAAAAAAATACTCCGTATGTAAATATCAAGATAAAAGTCTTAGCTAGGTATTTTAATACCAAAAGAGGAGTATAATGACAGTGTACCACCGACGGGCTACCGGTCAATATCGACTATCAGCGGTGGTACTTTGGTGTTTGGCAGTGGCATTTGGTGTCCGGCAACGACGAATGACAGTATTACAATGATAGTGTGTCAGATACAATGTAATACATGTAGTAAATGAGGTAGTGTAACAATGACACAGTAAATATCTATCTCGGTCTAAAAAGATTAAGAACTCCTATTTAGCATTTTCATAAAAGACTTTGGCTTTAGTATTTTTATTATTATTATTATTATTATTATTATTATTATTATTATTATTGACCAAAAAAAGGTGTTTGATCTGCTTGTGTTTCTGTACGTGCGAAAGTGCGATTTGAAAGAGCGCCGAACTTTGGGATGGTCAAGGTAATTTGACCAAATCACTTTGTTCGGGTATTTTTAAAAAAATATTACTCCCTCCGTCCACAAATAAACTTCTCGTTCACTATTCACATGGTCAAATTTTATTTGCTTTATTGGCCTATTTTCGTCACCCATTTAATAAAATCATATAGTCATGTTACCTCTAGTTTTTGTAGGTCTTTTGATATAATTTTTTAATATGTAATTTTTATTTTTAAATTTTACACTATTTTTCATATAAAATGATTTGAAAATAACTTAAATCAAACATCGTAACGTATAACGGGAAGTTTATTTGTGGACAGAGGGAGTAATTTCAATTGAAATCTACTTCGTAATAACTAAAATCACAAATTTCCAAAAGAGTTTGTAGAATAAAGAGCTGATTAACATCTATAAATACCCTCCGAGAAAAGACCAATTCAAGCTAAAACATTAGAACCAAATACTCGACCTTAAAGCGAGGGAGGGAGACCATCACAAAATGATCCCCGCCACTTACCTTTCAAGAATGGGCTTATATGACGTCACAATCGGCGGCGTTACCGTCAGGGCACGGGTGATCGACGACCCGAAGCTCGTCGACCATGCCCTGGCGGAGCTGGAGTTGACCGCGGACAACCCGTTTGTCGGGTTGGATTTGAAGACATGCAGGGATGCATTGGGGAGGAGGAGATGTGCACTTCTCATACTATGCACAAACACCAAGTGCCTCATCATACAATTGGATCGCATGATCAAAAGATGCAAAAAAAATCGCGTCCCCCGCGTTCTGGGGGACATTTTGTCCGACAAGCGGCTCTGTTTCGTGTCCCTGAACGGATTCACAAAGAGGGCGAACAGTCTGTCGTTTCGCGACACGGGTGATGTTCTGAAAGGCGCACACTCCTGCAAACCGAGTGTGTCACCACGCGTCTTTAAGTGTAAGACGATTTGGGCAGTTGAAGTTGGAGAGTACGCGGCTAGGGTGCTTAAAAACCCACAACTTCTCAAGTGTAAGTCACTTGAGAAACTGGGGGTTGAGGCTGGAGTCGACCTGAACACCACCGCCCTTTCGGACAGTGGTGGAAGGGCTAAACGGCCTTCGCCCAAGTGGGACTCTAAGCTTTTCTCTGAGGAGGAAGTGGTGAGCGTCATGTATGATGCGGTTGCGTGTTATCTTATTGTTCAAAAGCTCTTGGCTTCATGAGTAAAACTAAAACCTAATTGTCCAAACAACATAATATTATCAATAAGTGTTTTGAATAATTTTGTAATGGTGCAGATTAATTTGAAAATTGTTAGCTAAAGTAAAGCACTGCAATTATATTAGGTAATCTTTTTTAAGCACTGAAACTAAACGTCAAAGCAGTAGCCAAATGGGCACAAAGATTAGATGATTGTTGCTCTAATACTTTCTCTTTCCAATGGTAAAAGCCTAAAGCTTTGTACTAAAGAGAGTATTACTCCGGTGGAATTTTATATAATCTAAACTCTGATTTTACTAAATACAAATATGACATTTGTAAGTTATTAGTCTAACCTAATTGCTTATTGGATTACATGTACCCTCATCCCAATCGGGCAGTAATGTTGTATTATCTGTTCTCGACCAAGTCTTCATAAATTTATTTTTGGCACTTCGCAAAACACCTTACAGTTATTGGTTGGTTTGGACCTATCTATTTTGATTCTCAAATCTCAATTGATCACTTTTCTCTCTGGTGTGGGAGATTATGTTTGCGCCCAACAAATATGAGCTTTGAATTTTAACTGAATTTTTGGGGTTTAGATGAAACTCAAATTTGGGGTTTCATGGCTCTAAGGTGCTTATGTTTTCACGGCCAAATTGCTTTGTGGATTTTAGGTTTTTTTTGTAATAAATGAAATACTACCTCCCTTTCTATAAACACGTTCTATATTGACTTTAGAAAAAAATAAGGAAACCCAACAAAGCATAAACTTGAACAAGACAAAAAATAAATTTAAAAAATACTCCAAGTAATTCTTCGTACCACCATCTCACTATATATCTTCATCCTATTTGACTTTTTCAAGTAAAATTAGACAAATTTTGTGCTTCCAACTGTCAATTTGTATTGCATATTAGTACAACGAAATAAAATTTAGAAAATTTTTAACAAGATGTATCTAATAAAATTAATTTTAAAAAAATAAACATAATATTTTTTTAAATTGAAACTCAAAATTCGTTGTTTTTAATTATAAAAAAACAAACTGGACAAACACAGACAAAGAGAGTATAAAAAAAAGTCAAGTTGTCAAACACATCAGCAATAACAAAGTCTCCAACACACAAAAAGAACGTCTCCTCCATATAAAAGTAAACAAACATTACAAAAATTCTAGAGTTTACACACAACATTATATTCATTGAATTATCAACTTTAAATGTCAATTAAGTTATCAAATCATTCTCATTGTGTTTATATGCAACATCATCTTGTTCATTTGCATCTTTTTCAACTTCATCTTCATGAGCATGTATCCCAGCTTCTTCTACACTTTGGCAAATAATCTGCAATCTGCATGACTGCATAATTCTTAGCTGGATGGAAATCGTTGTGCATTCTGTTCAGATGGAGACGCTATGAACGAGAATTACACTATGTTTGGTTCAAGGAATTTGAAAGGGAAAAAAAAAGAAAATGAAATGGAAAATCATTTTTCTTGTTTGGTTAGAGGGGAAAAGAAAGGAAAAGTGGAAGGAAAAGAAAATGAGGAGGCAAAATGTACCAAGTGGAGGGAAAACCAAATTCCTTCCATTTTGGTGAAGAAAATGAGAGAAAACCTTTTTCTTTTCTTTTCCTTCCAAAATCCTTGAGCCAAACATAGTGTTACTGTTGCCCCCCGCTGGAAAAGGGAACGGAGAGAGGAAGCACTGTCGAGATCGTGCGGCTGATTACCCAGAACAAGATACGAGAGAGATGTGACAAAAATTTTGGGGTTGCCAGAAATTTAAGCTAAATTTAAACAATGCAATTGCAGGGGGTGGGAGGGGGGGGGGGTCGTGAGGGGGCGAGGTCGGGGGTTTATGGAGGGTTAAGAAGTGTAGGAACTGTCAATTTTACGAACAGAGCACTGTATGTGGCCTAATTGAAATGGTGTCACAAAACTTATATTAAAAAGCAAACCGGGTACATGGGGGGGTCCAAGCCAATACCCTCGGGAAAGACTAAGAGCATCTCCAATGCATAGGGTATAAAGTGGTAGTGTAAAATCAATTTTACACTATCAACAGTGTTATACGCACCCAATTTTTAATAACTACTCCAATCATATCTTCTATATAATACACTTTTTTAATTTTTTCTATTTTAAATTATTTATTCATCATACTTATTTTAATTCATAGTTTAATTATTAGAATGGAGAATGTCACTTACGAATAAAATTACAATATGTAAAAGATATAGAATTAACTCACAATAAATGAAGAAATGAATTAACAAAAGGACGAATGTGAAGCAAATTGAGAAGAAGAAAGAGAAATAAAAAAAAGAGAGGAAAATGATTAGTAATAGTGATCTTGTATAAATAGAAGGTGGGAGTGGTATTTTGCACTATAGTGCATTTTACCATTAGGTATACACAATGCATTGGAGAGGGAAAATATAAATAGTAAATGGCATAAAGTGTATATTTAAGCATATACACTATGCATTGTAGTTGCTCTAAGTGCAAAAAACAGAAGCAAGCTAAAAACAGAAACAAAACAAAATAAAATTAGATTTAAGGGCTCCAACCCTGCATCTGAAATTGAAATAAAATGAGTAAGAAAACCCAGGCTGCAATCCTTGTGCATCTTCCTTAGTTCAAAAGACCCATGTTGTTCTTACTTTGAACGAACCCACATGAGAGTCAAGTGCCATATTTGCCTCAAACCCTTCAAACTAGATTCTACTTCACCCAAAGTTATTTGCCACACATCCTTCTTAGTAAGCCAGATCCTATTGGTAACTTTTCAAAAACTCAAAAGATCACTAGGATCAGATCGACAGGTCACTAAGACCGTGTATCTGTTGCTTCAACCCCAACAATCAATGCCTCTACTATCCAAATATCAGTCTACCAACTTGTAGTTAATAGAACCCAAACACACATTTGCACATTCCATCTAATACTTCATCCATAGGCGTTAATAATTACATTTTTTCCTACTTTGCCCTTAATGTTTTATGGTAGTAACTCTTAGGTTTCTCACTTTTTGGTTTCTTTGTTTTTCTTTTTTTGTTACCCTTTTTTTAAAAACGTTTTTAAAAATTTCTTCTAGAAAATTGTAACAAACAATTCAAAATTGTCTGTACGATATAAAAATAATTGAAATAAAAAAGTTTCCCTAAAAAAAAGAAAATAACAAATAAAATAAAAAAATTGAGAAATAAAGCAAAAAATTTTCCATAGAAATTCCTCAAGATTCTTTTTTTAATACTTTTTACGTAGTATTAAAAATAAAAAAGAGATCTAATTTTCTTTATTGACAAAGTCCTAATTTCATTTATTTTTTATATCATACAAAGATTTGAATTTTAAAAAATATTTTCTAGAAGAAACTTTAAAAAGACCTTTATGAAAAAGAAACAAAGTGAAAAAAGTGAAACAAAAAAAGGAAACAAAGAAACTAAAAACCGAGGGATCTTAAAGTTATTACCATAAAACATTAAGGGCAAAATAGAAAAAACACATGTATTAACGACAATGGATGAAGTATTAGATGAAACATCCCCCTTAGTCATTACAACAAAATTTAAGGTCCTCTCTTACCTTTTTGAAAATATAGGGACATTAGAGTTATTTCGAAAAAACCCACGTCACCCAATAGTAGTTTTTTAATAAAAATTTGTGCTTTCCTTTCTTTGATTCCTTACATAACTCTAAGTAAGTCCCATATCTATTTTAATCCCAAAGAAACTTAGTAGAAGATTGACTTTCAAACCTTATAATCGTCCAGCCTTTCCTTGCTAAAGGTGGGTGATTGAGAGACTCTACTAACCATTTAATAGCATCTCTCGAGATTTAAAGTTGACTGGTCTTACCGTACTTTGCCTTTGAGACTTTAAAGATGTCTGAAGCCTGAAATTGGAATTCTTTACTTTCAATTTGGACAAAGAAGGCTCATGCCTCTCTGTTCACCGGACCTGAGTATCATCCCTGAATCATCCCTGCTTTTGGCACCTGTTAATTGAGCCCCTCCATGTCGGAGTCTGAACAAAGCCCTTCTTCCATTGTTTAGGGTCTCTGTACTCTAGCCTTCTCCCAATAGCCATCCAACGTTCATCCACAACCCTTCTCCCATAATCCGGCCTTCGTTTGTCGTGGTACGTGTAACGCCGCCGTAGGCAACGCTCCCCCCTCTATTCAAACCCTAGGCATATACTTGTGTATGTGTTGCAACGACCTCTTGAGAAGTTGCAACAATCTCATCACAAGTTGCTTCACGAATTTGTTTGTCTTTTACAGTTCGACTTTGGCCATACTAGTCTTCTTGTTTTGGATATATATATATATATATATATATATATATATATATATATATATATATATATATATATATATATATATATATATATATATATATATATATATATTTGATTATTTGTTTATTTAATTTTATAGTATTGACACATTTGAGAGAAGATTCCCTAGATTGAAAGATGCAGTGATGAACTTTGCAACGCATTCCTTACAACGGTGTTTGTTCGACCAGTCAATGGATGATGTTATTGCTCCCAATCACTTGGAAAACTTTCAAGGTTCCTTTTACAACAAGTATTTGGACAACAACCCAGAAGAGGCAAGTAATATCAAAGCCTATTTTAATCATATTCGCTTGCGTATCGCCGGTATTAAAATAGTCATCTCAACCACTGCCACAGCAGCACGTGTCGTCCTTCCTGTCCCCAAGAGCGAGGAAACATAGAGCAATGATAGCCAACTGATCAACATTGGCTTTAGAGTCTTTGGTATACTTTTTGACCATTGGACCACCCAGAAAAGTCTCCCTTCTCGGGATGATTGACCTCTGATAAGCTCGTTTGTCACGACAAAATTAAAATCATAAATGCTACACTAGAGTGAAATACAATAGTTAGCAGTAATGTTCAAGAACGTACTCGATCAACCAAGAATCATACAATATCAAGTCACTTTTATATAACTCTAAAATTATAAATTTTTGAACACCTGTTTATAACACTTGTGAGGGGAACATTTCTCATTGTTCTAAACAAGTATGCCAAAATTTATAATTTTAGAGCTATATAAAAGTGATTTGATATTGTATGATTCTTGATTAATCGAGTACATTTTTGAACCGATACAATCATTATTGTTAGGTATTGCATTTCACTTTAGTCTAACATTTATGATTTTAATTTTGTAATGACAAACGATCAAGCTCGCTAGAAGTTAATCTTCACGAAGAGGGGGACTCTTCCGTGCGGTCCAATGGTCAAAAGGTATATCAAAGGCCCCAAATCCAATGTGATCGGCCCATTTCCAATGTTCTCTACTTCCTCCTTGCTCTTGGGGCCAAGGAAGACGGCACGTAATGGTGTGGCATTGATAGAGGTGGTTGTTTTAATGCCGACAATAAGCAAGCGAACATGATGGCAAATTGCTTTAATATTGCTTGCCTCTTCAGAGTTGTCTTCAAAATGTAAAAGGATATTTGTCAAGTTTTGTAGCAAATTCGCAGCAATGACATCATCTATGGATTGGCAAAACAAGCGCAATCGCAAGCAATGCGTAGCAAAGTGCATCACTACAACTTGCCACCTAGGGAATTTTCTCTCAAATGTCTCCATACTAAAAATTTAATAAACCAATAATTAAATATATCCAATGCAAGAAATCTCTAGTATGGCCAGAATAGAACTACAAGAGAAACAAATTTGCGAAGCAACTCCTTATGAGGGGGTAATCTTACACCGAACATTTGGTGTAGGATTGTTACACCAATTCAATTGGGCACCTCCGGAGCTTTAATCATAAAATTGATTGTTCTTACCCATTAACCCCCGGCAAACCCCCATGTCCCTAACGCATCCCCACATCACTTTTAATTGCCCCGCTTAAATTTCTATTTAACTATTAGTGGCTCATTTGCCATCTCTTGATTTAGATCTCGGATAATCATCTTCAATCAGCAAACTTGCATAAAAAAGCATGAAAAACAAAACTAGGTAATGAAACACCACCACGTGCCATCTATAATAAAAATGGCACTAGATAATTCCCAAATCTTCCAAAAAAGAAGCAATATCCTTGTTAGACTATTATCAATTGATCATACTCCCGTAACATCAAAAAAGGAATATTAGCAATGACTTACTTAAATGTTCCAATACAAAACATAAACTATAAAATTTAGTTTTTCATTAAATTGATGGAAACAAAAAATGTGGTTAAATTTTGCAAATGATTGTTCTTAAATTTTGCAAAGGACTGTTGTTAAATTTGCATTTTACAACACAACATTCAAATCGATAGAAACAATAACTTCCTCAACCCATCATCAAATTCATAACCTTAGAGCCTTAGTTCCCCGTTCAAATTACTAATACACAATAAATTTTGCAAAGGATTGTTAAAATTTGAAAGGCATCAGATTAGGAGAATGAACCAAAACAAGTAAACAAAAAAGCATAACAAAAAGTAAGAAACACCAAATTGGAAATCAATGTAAGGTGAAAACTGAAAACCAAGATTAAGACTTCTCACACCTGGAGAATTAAATCCATGCGACTTGCATGGTTCCCGTGATCCCTAACACTTTCTTACTCCTCTAAATCTAAAGCCGACACTTCTACTCAGTCATTGCCGCCACCCCTTCTCCTCCACATCGGGTACCATTTATCACCAACTAGTATGGATCAGACGAAGATGGAGAAACATGGGGTGGGGATTCTAACAAAGAACAAGAAGAAAGGGGGGAGGGTTGGAAGGGGAGTCAGATGAAGAAAAGAAGGAAAGATGTGATTAGGGATGAAGAACAAGGGAGGGGCTGCAGGAAGAAGATCAGACTCGTGAGTGGTGAATAGTGGGGATAGAGTCAAGGAAGAAAAAAAGAAAGTGGAGAGGCAATGGTGGCCGGCGGTGGCAGGCAACGGTCAAAGGTGGTGGTCAACAGTCAAAATCTAGTCAGCATTCCTTCCTTTGATTTTATTTTACTCAAAAAAAATCAAAGTGTTTAAAAAATATGGTGAGCTTTGCTTACAGTTTGATGGATTTTGTAGTTTTCTTTGATGAGCTTTGCAGTGGCCGGTGGTAAATTTTGCGTTATTTGACCGTAGCATGTCATCTCACCATAAGATATCATCTAACATGCATGCATGCATGCATACATACATACATACATACATACATACATACATACATACATACATACATACATCTGTGTGTGTAGGTGTGTATGTATGTGTGTTACAACAATCACATCAAGAGTTGCTTCACAAATTTGTTTGTCTTTTACAGGTCTATGTTGGTCATACAAGGGTCTTTTTGTAATGGATATATTTGATTTATGATTTATTTAATTTTTTAGTATGAAAAAATTTAAGAGAGGATTCCCTATTCGGGAAGATGCACTGATGAATTTTGCTACGCATTCCTTACAATGTTTGTTCAGCCAATCCATGGTGATGCCATTGCTGCCAAACACTTGTAAAACTTGCAAATTTCTTTTTACAACAAGTATTTGGACGATAGCTCAGATGAGGCAAGCAATATCAAATCCCATTGCAATCATGTTTGCGTGCCTGTTGTCGGCATTTAAGCAACCACCATTTTAATGTCACATTATCACGTGTTGTCTTCTTAGTCCTGAGCGAGGAGGAAGTAGAGAGCAGTGGAAACCGGCCGATCAACATTGGAATTGGGGTCTTTGATATACCTTTAGATCGCACAAAAGAGTTCTTATTTTCGTGATGATTGACCTTTAGTGAGCTCGTTTGTCATTACAAAATTGAAATCATATAATAGACTAAAGTAAAATGCAATACTTAACATCAATGATTGTATAGTTTCAAAACGTACTCGACTAACCAACAATCATACAATATCACTTTTACATAGCTCTAAAATTATAAATTTTAAAACACTTGTTTATAAGAAGGGGAAATGTTCCCCTCACAAGTGTTATAAACAGGTGTTCCTAAACTTATAATTTTAGAGTTATGTAAAAATAATTTGATATTGTATGATTGTTGGTTGATCGAATACATTCTCAAACATTACTGCCAAGTATTGTATTACACTTAGGTCTAACATTTATGATTTCAAGCTTGTAATGAAAAAACGAACTTACCATACGTCAATCATCACGAGAAAGACTCTTTCGAGTGGTCCAATGGTCAAAAAGTATATCAAAGCCCCCAAAGCCAATGTTGATCGTCTGGCTTCCACTACTCTATGTTTCCTCCTCGTTCTTGGTAACAAAGAGAACGACATGTGATGGGGTGACATTGATGGGAGTGGCTGCTTTAATGTCGACGATAGACAAGCAAATATGATTGCAATATGCTTTGATATTGCTTACCACTTCTGAGTTGTCGTCCAAATACTTGTTGTAAAGAGAAAATTGCAAGTTTTGCAAGTGATTATCATCCTTAGACTGGCTGAACAAGCATTGTCGTAAGCAATGCGTACCGAAGTCCATCAATGCATTTTTCCAAATAGGGAATCCTCTCTCAAATGTCTTTATACTTAAAAAGTAAACAAACCATTAATCAAATATATCCAATGCTTTGAAATGTATCTCTAAAGCCTGCATCCCATGTTTCAGCCATGATGGTTCAGAGAGTCACAACTTTACAGGTTCTAAAATCCGACTCTAACATGTTTTTATCATTACGAACGGGTCCATTAAATTTTTAAATTGGAACCGACCCTAAATCGGTTTATTTGAAACGTGTTGATTTTTCTGAGTCTGAAAGTCCAAGCCTTAACATGGTGAAACATGTGAATGTAACAAATTACAAAAAAAATAGACTATTAGTGGAAATAATGCTGCCATGTGCCATAACAAAACAAAATTGTATCCAAAACAAGTAAGAAAAGAAATAGTCAGTAATGTAATATTGTTATGTGCCATCAATTCAACAAGCAAACTTGCATCTAAAAAAGCAAGAAAAATAATACAAGCTAATGAAACACCACCATGTGCCATCAACAATAAAAATGACACTAGATAACTCCAAATTCTTCCAAAAACAAAAACAAAATCTTAGTGAGACTATCATCAATTGATCATACTGCAGCAACAACAAAAAAGAAAAACTTCCTCAACCCATTACCTGATTCATCACATTCAAAACCTTAGACCATAACTCCCCTTTCAAATTATTACTACACATTAAATTTGGCAAGGGATTGTTAAATTTGAATGACATCAAATTAGGAGGAAGAACTCAAACAAGTAAACAACAATGTGTTCTTCAATTGAAACGAAAAATTCATATCGAGTAACAAAAAGTAAGAAACACTACAAGCCAGATTGAAAATCATTGTAAGGTGAAAATTAAAATCCAAAATTAAGACTTTGCATACCAAGAGATGCAAATCTATGGGAGTCGCTTGGTTCCTAGGTTGCTCGGCTCAGCTCGCTAGAGTCGACGATGACAATGATGATGAACGGACAGAGCCGCAAAGAATAATGAATACGGAGTGATACGGTCAAACCTAAATTACTTTTTATTTATTTTCATTAGTCATTTAATAAAATAATATAGTCATGTCATCTTTTGTTTGGTATTTCATAGAGTTTCTTTATGTAGTTTTTAAATATATAAATTTTATATACTTATTTTCATTAGTTATTTTATAAAATAATATAAACATGTCACATCTTGTTTTCACAACTACAAACTAGACTTTTTGCAACCCAAGTGAAGTGGTACATTAGATAGGTAAAATGTTGTTATATAGTTATAGCAACACTTAGGGTCCGTTAGGAAACCAGGAAAACAACTACTGGAAAATGACTTTTGAAAAATGACATATTTTCTTGACGTCATTTTACTTTTTTGGTTTTTGGCTAAAATGGCATGAAATGGAAGTTGCAAAAGCTCAAGTAGTGACACAGCTGGGTGAAAGAAACTTGCAGGAGCTCAATGTCACACCCCCAACAAAAGCATGAGAATGAGAAATCAAAAGCAACAAAAAACAGATTAGACTAGAACAAACTTAAAACAGAAAGCAGATTCAACACTGATCATACTCAAACAAAACTCCTTTTTAACTTGACCATATCAATCATAAAACAGAAAACAGATTCAAGATCAGACTAGCTTGATTATCACACAGAATTCAACATTGATATCTAGAACTCAAAAATAATTTTTGAAAAAAATCAAGCAGAGAATCAATTTTGAAATATCAACATCACATTCTAGAAACCATAAGCTAAACAATACTCTGTAAATGAAAAAATCAAGCACTCAAAGAGCTTTTTCAATTTCTTTGTGGCAAAAAACAAGGCTGAAAAAAACCACATATGCTTCAATCAACAAGAAAAACACACATAATCTTCTCATTCAGCGGAAATGAAAAGAAAAATCTACTGCAGAATAAGAAATTTTTTCAGGGCTTCTAGAGAAAACAACAATTGACAAGCAATAATTGCCAACATTCAAACAAAAATCAAGCCATGATGGAAAATATTAAACAATTACGGAGTCTATAGAAAAAAAAAGGGATTGATTACCTGCTTCCGACAAAAGGAAGGAGGTGATGGGGATTGGAGATCTGACGCTAGATCACGCTAACCCTAGAACTCTGGCGGAAGGTGTCGGAGAAATGAGGACGAGGCGATGAAGAAGAGGGGAGAGAACGCAAAGAAGATAAGAAAGTTGGACGGAGGCAGAAGTTGGTCCCCTAATTAGGTTTTGGGTTCACCAATCCTTTCTCAATATTTATATACAGAGAATTATTATTTTCATTTTTCATTATTTTTTAATATTGTCATAGAACTCTTTATTTTTTCAAGGTTCTTCTCTCATTTCTCAAAAAAAAAAAAATACTCCCTCCGATGCGAATTTGATTATAAATTAAGATTACGAGAAAAAAAGTTCACTTTTTGAAAATATTTTATTTACAAATATGTATATAAATATAAAATAAAAGTTCAATCATGCTAGGGATACACCAAATGTGTACCTCAAGTTGTACTCAAAGAAATGCATCAACATTTTAACGGTTCACATGAGCAGAAAATATTAGTTCAATTAAACAAATTTGCATTGACATTTTTTCCAATGTAAATCATCACACTAGTACAAAATGTCGGTGCATGCCTTTGAGAGTACAAAAAGGGGTACAAATTTTGATGTACAAATAGCTTAATCCATAAAAGTTACATATTAAAAAACTACATCAAATGTACTACAAAATAAGAGGTGACAAAAATATTTTATTTTATCAAATATTCAATGAAATCGCGTAAATAAATAAAAGTTATCGAGTGTAGAAAAAAAATTGTAATCAAAATGGGAACAGAGGCAGTATAATATTATTATTATTTGTCATTACCTTTTATCTTGAGAAAAACTTGTGAAAAGTTAAAAAGTTCTATGAGAATATAATTTAATTTTTTTGGAAACCCATTAAGTACTCAAATATTTTCATTTTCCAAATAGATCCACTATGCCAATAGAACAAATAACATCTACTCATTTCGTCTTAAAATGTTCTTTTTCAGTTACTATTTACATGGTCAATTGGTCAAACCTTAATCACTTTCTTTACTTATTTTCGTTAGTTATTTAATCAAATAATATAGTCTTGTCATCTTTTGTTTTATAGAATTTTTGATGTAGTTTTTAAATATAGAAATTTTATTTTTAAAATTAACAACTATAATCAAACAAATTGAATTGAAAAAAAGGTTGGTCAAACTTCGTAAATAGAAATGAGAAGAACGTTTGAGGACGGAAGGAGTATATTTCTTAACTTTTTAAAGATTCAATTAATTTTGCATAAGAGTGCTATTAAAAAGGATTCTAAAATTAGAAAGAGAAAAAAATGTACTCCACTCCCTATGTCTCAATTTAAATCGTGTGTTTTTGTTTACAATGTTGTAAGTTATTTTCAATATAATTTATTTGGTTCTTCTGTTAAAAGGCAAAGGTGACATTCAGAGCTGCGAGAATTATAGAGGCATCAAACTGCTTAGCCACACCATGAAGGTTTGGGAGCGAATCATTGAGTATAGGGTGCGGAAAGGGGTTTGCATCTCTGAGAACCAGTTTGGTTTCATGCCTGGCAGATCGACTACAGAGGCCATTCATCTCATGAGGAGGTTAATGGAAGAGTATAGGGCTAGGAAGAAGGATCTTCATATGGTGTTTATTGACCTTGAGAAGGCGTATGATAGGGTGCCAAGGGAGGTCTTATGGAGGTGCCTTGAGGCGAGAGGAGTTCCCATCGTGTACACTCGCGCGATCAAGGATATGTACGATAGGGCTATGACCAGGGTAAGGACTTTTGGGGGCGACTCAGATTCTTTTTCGGTAGGGATGGGGTTGCACCAGGGGTCTGCCCTTAGCCCTTTTTTGTTTGCCTTGGTGATGGACGTCCTAACTCAAGGTGTTCAAGAAGGGGTCCCATGGTGCATGCTTTTCGCGGATGACATTGTGCTTATCGACGACACGCGTGAGGGATTAAACGATAAGTTGGAACTATGGTGTCTTGCCCTTGAAACTAAAGGTTTCAAAATAAGTAGGAGCAAGACTGAGTACATGGAATGCCATTTCAGCGGCCGGGATACAAAATCAGAGGTGGAAGTCAGGATTGACTCTCATCTAGTACCTAAGGTAGACAAGTTTCGATATCTTGGCTCGGTAATCCAGGCTGATGGGGATGTTGGACACCGTGTTGGAGTGGCTTGGGCCAAATGGCGGTTAGCTTCAGGGGTGTTGTGTGATCCGAAGATTTCGCCTAGAATGAAAGGTAAGTTCTATCGATCAGTAGTCAGACCTGCTATGTTGTATGGGGCGGAGTGTTGGGCGGTTAAGAAGACTCGTGTGCGTCGTTTGCATGCAGCGGAGATGCGGATGTTACGATGGATGTGTGGTAAGACAAGGTTGGATAAGATTACAAACGAAGTCATTCGACGTCAGGTAGGCATGGCACCGGTGGAAGATAAGTTGTGAGAAGCGAGGTTGAGATGGTTTGGCCATGTGAGACGGCGGGATGCTGACGCCCCTGTACGGAGATGCGAGAGGATTACGGTTATCGGGGGAAGTAGGGGAAGGGGTAGACCCAGGAAGAATTGGAAGGAGGTGATTAGGCAGGATTTAGGACTTCTCAACCTGACTGAGGATATGGCCTTAGATAGGAACCTTTGGAAAACTAGGATTAGAGTAGTTGGATAGGAGCTCGGTGTTGTAGAGGTTGTTTTGTAGTGTGTTGTATTTGTTTAGAATCTTTTGCTATTGCTTGTACTTAATGCTTGTACTTGGTGCTTTATATGGGCTATATTGTGTTCTCTTCCATATTTTTGTGCAGGTGGAGCCGGGAGTCTCTTGGAAACAGCCTCCCTACTTCCGAGTAGGGGCAAGGTCTGCGTACACACACCCTCCCCAGACCCTACTATTGTGGGATCCAACTGGGTTGTTGTTGTTGTTGTTATTTGTGAAATGTGATAGAATTAAAAGATAAAATTAAAGATTATATCAAAAGTACTATGAACAAGAAATGAAATTACTCTATTATTTTACCAAAATGAGTAAAAAATAGAAAAAAATGAATAAAGTTGAACTTTGTGATCAGTAAACAAACTACTTAAATTGAAACAAAAGGAGTAAAAAATTTCAAAAGCATCAAAGAAGTATTAAAAGTGCTTCTGAAAATGTTTCATAAAAAATAAAGACCATGCTAAGTCTACACCACTTGGGGTACACCATTTTGTACACCACAATTTTGCACAATTTACTGTGCCAAAACAGCACAATTTTATCAGGCACCAAATTATGCATATGACAATATGTTACATCTAAAAAAACAAATAATGCATCTTGTCATCTTTTGATGTAGTTTTTAAATATAGAAATTTTATTTTAAATTTTACACCTATAATCAAATAAATTAAATTAAAAATAGAGTCAATCAAACTTCGTAAATAGAAACAAGAAGAACGTTTAAGGACAAGAGGAGTATATATTTCTTAACTTTTTAAAGATTCAATTAATTTTGCATAAGAGTGATATTAAAAAGGTTTCTAAAATTAGAAAGAGAAAAATTGTACTCCACTCCATATGTCTCAATTTAAATCGTGTATTTTGGTTTACAATGTTTGTCGTAAGTTATTTTCAATATAATTTTTTTGGTATTTGTGATAGAATTAAAAAATAAAATCTAAAAACTTAAATATTATATCAAAAGTACTACGAAACAAAAAATGAGATTACTATATTACTTTATCAAATGAGTAAAAAAATAAAAAAAATAATATCAACGAAGTTTAACCTTGTGATTAGTAAACAAAAACTTAAATTGAGACGAAAGGAGTTAAAAATTTCAAAAGCAGCAAAAAAGTATTAAAAATGCTTTTGAAATTGTTTCATAAAAGATAAGGACCATGCTAAGTCTAGACCACTAGGTGTACACCACAATTTTGCACAAGTTACGGTGTCAAAACAGGCCAATTTTATCAGCCACCGAAATCATGTATATGACTATATGTTACATCTAAAAAACAACAAATAGTACATACCAGTTTACAGTTCAATGGTAAAATTCAAACTTTGCAATATACATTTGCTACCAGATAAATAAAAAATTACCTCTCAGCGAAGCCACGAGAGATAAACCATATGCAGCAGCTAATGTGTAGCGGAAGGTATGCTCTTGGGTGAAATGAGGCTTTCGACACGGGAATAGAAATAAAGGCCATCTGACCTGTTGTGGACGGCCGCTTCATAAGCTCCGGTTGTCACGTCACGCCAATACAGAGCCATCTTGTTTGTCGCGAAGTAGACAAGTGTCACCTCCCCACTTGTCGAACAATGGATGAGTTGAGCCATTCTTAGGCCATGAAACTTGTTGAAGGCGCCTCTATATCTTGGAAACAGGCTGCCCATTCGTGTTGTTATGGTGAACATTTTTGTCCATTCTCTGAGCTCCACATTTGTCAATGCCCAAATTTGCACATTAGAAAGGCCTTCAAACTCTGCTACGCCTAGCCAACCATTGCCATGATTGCTCATGAGGAAGGACGATATCATTTTCTTTGTTGGTGACGGTATGTAAAAGAGTTTTTCAGATTCCGCCTCAAAAACAAGTACGGACGAAGGGTAAAAATTATTGGTCCAATAGATGTAGCCATCTATGGAAATAGGGAAGTGCATTTCATGAAGATATAATCGTAAAGATCCATTAACTTTAGCAGTGGTGGTATCAACAAATCGCCAAGCAGCATCGGTGCCAAGGGTTAGCACCAAAACAGGTTGTATGAAATGACAGGGAAATAGCACCACCTTGTAGGCATCAAGGGAAGGTATATATGATATGCCAGCAACATGGCCATTAGAATACCCCACATTGGGTAACCACAGAGCCTGTATTGCTGGAATTTCTGGCAACTTGGGGAAGTTAGATGTGTTTTCCCCTGTCACAGGATTGGCCAAGTGAAGGGCAAATTCTGAGTAGGAACCAGTTTTGGCCAGAATTAGGCCATTGCAAGTAGCCAAAACCTTACAACAAAGAGGCAAAGAAGAGCGCGTAATTTGCAATTTGGATCCATGGGAATGGTTGCTGTTGGTTTGAAGATGAAGTTCAGATGGGACCTCGCACCAAGTGTAAGTATTGAAACTGAGGAAAGATGGCGATCGGATGAGGTTGTCCCGGGCGAAAATGGGGGTTTTGACAAGCCTATACCAACTCCAACAAACATGAATGGCGACATTGTGAAGTACATGCGCGGGAAGGAAAGTTAGGATTCTAAAAATGAGATGTTCCGGAAGTGAAGCTCTGGGGAAGGTGATATTAGCAGTATCACTATCATTTTTACTAAGTTTGTGCTTATGCCTTGTTAAGACACACCAACTCCGAGTGCAAGCAATTGCGGCTTCACTTTTCTCGTCCCTTTTCGTACACTCCTGGCATCCAACACAATATGATAAAATTAAGAAATACTGTACAAGTGTAATTATGTAGCATACCAATTGATGTTGATAAATCCATCACCATATGATTTCAATTGAAAACTTTTCACCATTAGCAAATGCCGTTAATATGAAAAAGACACCATTTAAAAAAAGTGTTTCTTTGTAGGTTTTGACAGTTTCCCAGATGAACTTTACACATTGATGTCACCTACACCAACTACAAAAACTCCTAAACCCACATTAATACCATTCACACTACACAAACTCTAGAAAAAACTACAAAAATACTTCACATAAAAAAACATAGCAGTAAGTCAGTAACAATAAATCAGGCACTAAGCTCACGTACCAATGCTAATGCATATGTACAGAGAGAGAGAGAGAGAGAGAGAGAGAGATTTAAAATTCATACCTCACAGCGGTCAACCCATATGAATCTCTGATTTTCATCGAGCCCGAAAATCCACCTTCTCCTCGCATTAGCTGTGAATAGAGCTTTGTTACCGATTTCAACGAAATTTTGTTTAACCATTACTGGCTCATTTGCCATCTCTTGATTTAGCACTTGGATTGTCATCTTAAAAGGAATTGAAGAGGGGCTATAAATTGGCACAATTAGCATTTGGTTAAATTGATGGAAACCAGAAAGTTTGGTTTATTATGCAAATGCTTGTCCTTGAAATTTGCATAGGACTGTTGTTAAATTTATATTTTAAAGAGCAGTATTCAAATAGATAAAAAGAAGAACTTCCTCAACCCATCATCAAATGACTAAACTTCACTATTGGTCCTTCAACTTTATCAGTTATGCACAATTGGTCCTTCAAATTTCAAAAATCCATAAATAGTTCTTTAACTTTATGAGTTATGCACGATGAGGTCTTTTTGACGGTAAATGTTAAAAGCTAAATGAAGTACTAGCTCCATATAATACGTAGTAGTCGCACCTAGTTGAACTTACTCGTACTATATGAAACTAGTATTCCATTTAGTTTTTAATGTTTACTGTCAAATGGACCTCATCTTGAGGGCTGATGTGTACTTGAAGACATGGACTTTTGAAACTTGAAGGACCAATCATGCACAACTCATAAAGTTAAAGAACCAAATGGTGGATTTTAGCATGATCAAATTCATCACATTCATAACCTTACAGCATAGCTCCCCTTTTAAATTACTACCACACATTAAATTTTGCAAAGGATTGTTAAATTTGAAAGGCAGCAAATTAGGAGAAAGAACTCAAACAAGTGAACAACAAGGTGTTCTTCAATCGAAACAAAAAAAAAATCATAACAAAAAGTAAGAAACCCTATAAACCAGATTGAAAATCATTGTAAGGCGAAAATTGAAATCGAAAATTAAGACTTCGCACACCTTGAGATGTGTAAATCTATGCGAGTTGATTCGTTCCCAGATTGCTCGGTTCAGGTCGCTAGAGTCGGCGGCGGCGACGACGACAATGATGAACTGACAGAGCCGATTACTGAATACAGAGTGTGGGCCACATAGTTTTACGAAGTTACGTTGTAAAGGAAATAAAATTTCAATTTTTTTAAATTTGTTTTTTTGAAGATTCGTATAAAAATTAAAAATAAAACTTACATGTTTAAAAATTACGTCATAACATTCTATCAAATAAGAAGTGACGAAAATATTTTATTTTATCAAATAATCAATCAAAACGACTAAATAAACAAAAGTTTACGTGATTTTCAAATAGTAAAAAGTGTAATTCTCTTTTACAAGGAGTATATATTAAATTAGTTCATTATTAGTTTATAAAAATGACAAGTACACAATAAAAATGCTACTCTGTCAAAAACTAAGGCACTACGCTGAGTAAAATACCAACGCTAATATATTTTGTAGTTCGTACCATGGGTCCCACTTGGAGCGTTGTCGGTCCACCCATGGATATAGAGATTAATGAATAGGGAGTGAACTAGACAGGTTCCTAACCGTCGAACCCGTTTGCCCACTTCTAGTTTCGACTTTACGAATAATAAACTTGATGTGAAGGTAAATATATTATTTGTTTGAACCACAATAAAGTGTGTGTTAGCTTGGTGTACATATAAGGTATCCCATGTTGGTGTAACCCTAGGTTAATTCTAAATATTATTGTAGTTGATTTGTTTTTTTTTTGAAATTTTTAGCTCTCTGTATTTACTTAAAAGTCATTAATGGTAGAAGTCAGTCTCAACAAAGAAATTGTATGATTTAAACTAGAGTTAAGCAAGAGTGCCATTACATGGGTGCTACCATGTGTGCACTAATGCTTCGCACAGACAAATACAGACATTGATTATTTGTGCGACACAGACAATTATCGTCTATGTTTGTTTGTGTGAAACATGTGTGCACCCCTTGTAGCACCCATAGTAGGCCTATTTTATCGTCTATGGTTGTCAAAAAAGCCCACATATAAATTGAAAAATAATGTTTTTTTTGACAACCATTATTGCCATATGTTGAGTGTTACTTCAAAGTCCCACATTGGTGGGATAGGAAAATTGAGAAGGTATTGGAGCCTATAAATAGAGAGAGTGTATAAGCTTCCAACATACAACACAATCCTTCAATCTATATAATTGTGTATTAGATTTTAGGTTGTGAGTGTCAAATATTGGAGAGGGTTTGTAATTTTTCCGTGCAAAAATTACTAGTGAGATTTTATCCCAGAAGGGGTCGTGGAGTAGGTCTTGAGGTGCTGAACCACGTTAAATATTTTGTGTGCTCTTTTTCTTTCCTTTCCATTTGTTTGCAGTAGGGGGCCTAACAAGTGGTATCAAAGCCAAGGTGATCTGGTAATTATAATTCTTAGTATGCTCTGTGGTTGCAGCTTTGACTGATCTTCCACATCAGAAAAGAATTATTAATTACAGAGTTGCAGTCTAGGGAGGAAGGAGATAGAGGAAGGAGCAAGAGGAGGGAGTGCCACTTCAGCAGAGGAGGTGGTGGTCCAGTCAGCAGAGGTGGGTCCGTGAGTGCCACGCCAGCAGTTTGTGGGTCCGAGTGCCACGTCATCATCTAGTCAGCGCCACATCAGCATGTCCAGTCATTGTGTGGGTCCCGCTGGTGATTTTTGAAGAGAAGTTGGTTCTGACTAATTTTGACGTCTTGATTCCATTTTTTAGGCAAGTTTCCTCAAAAATTGGATTGTTTGGTATTGGTTGATTGCTGCTTGAGTGGAACTATGGCTACCTTGAAGTTTGAAGTTCCGTTATTTGATGGAAGAACGGACTTCATGTTGTGGCAATGCACTATTCAAGACTATTTGGTCCAGCAAGATCTTGAATTAGCATTGCAAGATGAGAAGCCAAGTGATATGAAAGAATCAGAGTGGAGTACAATCAAAAAGAAGGCTGTCAGCACAATTCAGTTAGCACTGTCCCCACAGATTAAAGTGACTGTGCTGAAAGAGACATCACCAAAGAAGCTGTGGGAAACGTTGGAGAGCAAGTTTGCGTCGAAGACACTTACTAATCGGTTGATGATGAGGATGGACTTGTACTCACTGAAGATGGAAGAGGGAGGTAGCGTAATTGATCACATCAAAAAGTTTAATGAGCTAGTATCAAGGCTGTTAAATGCAGGGGAGACTATCAAGGATGAAGAGCAAGGGCTGCTTCTACTGGCTTCACTACCAAAATTCTTTAAGCCGTTTGTGCAGTCAATGATAGCAGGAAGGACTACACTGCGACTAGATGAGGTGACGACTGCCTTAAAGGAGAGTCAAAGGATGTTGGGAGGTGAAGAGTCTTCCGGGGACAGTCATTTACTAGCTGCTCTGAGTGTTGAGAAAGGAAGTAAGAAGAAGAGTGACCAACTTGGGAGAAGATCTCAGCTGAGAGACATGAGCACTGTTAGGTGCTATTACTGTGAAAAGTTGGGTCACACAAAGAACGGTTGTCCAGAACTCAAGGAGGATTTGCAGATCCTAAAGGAGAAGAAGGGCAAATCAAAGGAAGCTTCTTCCGCGAATGTGATCACTTATGAAGATGATCTCTTCTGAAGATAAGAGTACTGCTGGACAGAAGATTCTGCAAGATGGGAGTATCGCTGCAGAAATCGCAAATGATGTAGGTCTTTGAATTAAGGGGAGATTTGTTGAGTGTTACTTCAAAGTCCCACATCGGTGGGATAGGAAAATTGAGAAGGTATTGGAGCCTATAAATAGAGAGAGTGTATAGGCTTCCAACATACAACACAATCCTTCAATCTATATAATTGTGTATTAGATTTTAGGTTGTGAGTGTCAAATATTGGAGAGGGTTTGTAATTTTTCCGTGCAAAAATTACTAGTGAGATTTTATCCTAGAGGGGGTCGTGGAGTAGGTCTTGAGGTGCCGAACCACGTTAAATATTTTGTATGCTCTTTTTCTTTCCTTTTCATTTGTTTGCAGTAGGGGGCCTAACACCATATTATGACAACAATGACCTTCGATGCTCCGTTCGAACAATGGCCTACAGCTTCTTTTATGACATTGTAGCCAATCAGCGTTTTGGGGTGGGGGTGGAGGGTTTAGGGGAATAGGAATTATTAATTTTTCGAACGGAGCATTGTAGGCTTTGTTGTCACAACATGACACCCCTCGTTTTAAAAAGAAGGGGGGCTGAATTATTAGTAAGATTGTAATTTTAGTATGCTTCCTTTTTTTAATTCCTTTTTATATCTATTTCAAATATTTTTGAGTTTTAAATGACTAACGGTGCGAGTTTTGATTTTATTTTTGACAATTCCATTTATACTTTTTTTTTGCAAATATTAATTTATTACGGAGTATTATTATCAAATAAAACTCGGTTGCATTTTTTTCTTTCGTCTAAAAAAAATTACTTTCCATTGTTTAAATTCACACTTTTCACTTTTGAAAAAAACTTTTGTGAACAATATTATTTTTCATCCTTCTGGACAAATTTCAATCACGCAATTTCAGTTATATAATCTTTGTTCTAAGTCAAACGTGAAATCCTTTGACATGATAGAAGTAGTTTTTACTATTTTAATTTAATTATATTTTCTTCTGTCCCACTTATTTCATGACAGAATAAATTACGGTATTTAATTAATCGATGTTATTTTTTTATTAGTATGAAAATTGGTACAAAATTAAAAAATAATTATTTTGGTATAATTATCACCTTCAGCATTTGCAAAAGTTTACTGGGTGGCAGTTTATATGAGCATAACACATGAAACCATAATTTTTTGAAAATGGTAACAGTCAGTTTCGAACACGTAGCTTCTTAGTCAACAAGACTCTGATAAACTCAACAAAAAGCTTAAACTTGTGATTGTGGCATTCTAAAGATTATTTTTACTCAAACAAAACCACTTTACGACCCTTCATATAATTAAGTAATGCATTTCACTATAATTTAGCACCAGGCTCTTACTTTTGGAATTGTAACAGTTGTCTCTTAATATTGTTAATAAGGCTATGTTCTCTTCGTCTAATTTGATTAGTTCCGATTTGAATCTATTAAGTTCAAATCTAATTTGATCTGGGGTGAACTTACTTGATCTGATATGACCTTAAATGATTTGAATGTAGTGTAATTTATAGTTGTCACATGTTTGGTTTGAACTTATCTGATCTGAATCAAATAAAAATAAGTAGCGAATAAAAAAGTAAGCTGAAGAGAACATGCCCTAAGATGGTTAATATCTTTTTAATTGTTTTTAAAATTTTACTTTTAATATATTTCAACATTAAGAGAAAGTTAGCTCAAGACTTATGCAACTTAAATAAATCATACAACAACAATCTAATTGAATCTCACAAAAGTAGGGTGTGGGGGTGTGTTACAATTTAAATGTACCCTAAAAAGAGAAATATTAGAAACGAATAATGGCAAGGTTCTGTTGGCACTAATTTTCAGCGTCAACGGATGATACTCCCGCACTTGGAGCTCCTCCAGTGCTCTAAATGAAAAATCAATATGTCCTACCCCCTAATCTCCTCCTTAAACCCCCCAACCACACCCCCACCCCCGCCCGGCCTCTGTGCCCCATTCTAGACCCTCCTTTTATCCCTCGACATGTGTGACTATTATGCAATGCAATATTGGAATATGAGCAAGTAACAATATCTCAATGTTAAGAAAAGCAAATATGTTGGATCTTGGAGCAAGAAAACGGAGCAAGAGAAGCTAAGTAAAAACTAGAAAAAGATTTACACTATGTTTGGTTTAAAGAATTTATAAAGGAAAAGAAAATTAAAGAAAATGAGATGGAAAATAAGAAAGAGAGAAAGAAAAGTTAGAGAGAATAAGAAAAGAAAGAGAGAAAGAAAAGAAAATGAGAAGACAAATTTTCCCTCTGTTCTAAAACTTATTTCTCGTTTCTGTTTATGAGGTTTGACCGACTTTATTTTTAATTCAAATTTTTTGATTGTAGATGTAAAATTTTTTAAAAATAAAATTTACATTTTTAAAAAATACATCAAAAGGTCTATAAAACAAGAGGTGACAAGTTTATATTATTTTATCAAATAACTAAAGAAAATAAATAAAGAAAGTGATTAAAGTTTCACAATGTAAATAATACTCCCTCCGTTCATAAAAGAACTTCCCGGTTTGACCGGGCACGCATATTTAGGAGACATGAAAATAACATTGACTTTACTAAAATGCCCCTTTCATCTTAAGGAACCTTTTCTTCTTCTGTGTTCTTCCTTCAAGACACAAGTCCAAGATTTATTCCAAAATAAACATTCAACAAACACAAGATCCCAAATATCAAGTCACACCAGTTTAAAAAATCCTCAAAGAGAAAATCCAGACCCAAAATTCATACATGGTAGAGAAAAGCTCTCAAATCTATTTCAGATCCGAAGAAGCAAGGCACACTCCTTCCGATATGACGAAGATGGTGCCATTTTTTCCCAGATTCGGTGAAGATATTAGAATAGTGCTGCTCCAAAGCTCCCCTGGCATCACAGCCCCCGGCATTCTCTCGCCGTCACAACCCGCATCCCCGGCATTCTCTCGCCGTCAACATCCCACCTCAGATCTGGACAAAATTGAAAAAAAAAATTCGATGCAAATCTAGATCCGGCGAAGACGCAACCCACAGCTGGAATTTTTCGCTGCAAATCTGGAATTTCGGTGCAAATCTGGAAGAAAAAAAATCGCTGCAAATCTGAAAAAAAAAAATCGCTGCAAATCTGGAATTTTTTTTCTTATTCAAGTTGATAGAAGAAGAATGAAGAAGAAACAGAAAAAAATGTAGAAGAAAGAAGAAGAGACGGAAGAAGAAAGAAAAGAAGATGGAAGAAGGAAGAAAGAAGAAAAAATTAAAGAAAGAAGAATGACGGAAGAAGAAAGAAAAAGAGAAAAAGAAGAAAAAGAAAGAAACAAAAAAATCAAGAAAAAAAATCGAAGATGAAAGAAGAAAGCAAGGGAAGGAATAAGGGCATAAGGGACATTTCAATTACAAAAACTTTCCTAAAATAGAAATGGGATGTTTTTTTATGGACGGATGAAAAAGAAAAATGAGAAGTTCTCTTTAGGACGGGGGAATAATTGATTTGTTTTTCTAAGATCTTTTTCTTTGTCTTTCTTAAAACTGCATCTCTTGAAGCCGCCTTGAAGGCATCTCTCCTTCCTTCTTTGTGCCTTAACTTTTTTGTATTCCTTTTTAAATTTGTTTAATTTTTTTAAGTTTTCAATAAATGAACCAGTTTTGATTTTTTTTAAAAAAAATTAATCCGATACAAACTTATTTTTACTATTTTTAAATTATTACGGAGTATTTCTTTTATCCTATAAAAATGATTCACTTTATGGTTGCTCGGACAAAATGAAATTTAATTTTCCACTTTAGGAATCCATCATCCGCACAACCAAACATCCTCTCTCATAAATTGGCAAGAAGAAAATTCCTTTTGGACAAGCGTTCCCAAATTGGAAAGGCTTATTTATGTAGTTCGTGTTGCCCGGTGTTGATTCGGATACTCCCTCCGTCTCAAAAAGATTGGTACATATTAACTTTTTGAAAAATTAAGGGAAGGATATTTTGGTGTTGAGTTTCCAAAAATACCTTTGATGTGATGGGTAAAAGTAGGATGTGATGGGTAGATTATTAGGAAAAAGGTATGATGTGATAGATAGGGTATGAAAAAGTAAGGGGTAAAAGTGATTTTTTAATAGAAATGTAACGGACTTTACGAGACGCAATTTTTTCGAAACGTGTCGGACTTTTTGGGACGGAGGGAGTATCTGATTTGATTTGATAGGAGTTTTTGAATATTCAAAATTTTTAGATTGGAAAATATCTATTTTAGGGGACAACAAAAAATGAAAGGGAAGATCTTTTAGGGACGGAAGAAGTATAAAATAAAAAAAGTTGAAATTTGCATTAAATAGTACTAAAACATAAGTCATTTTTCAATATAAAACTTAAATTTTTTATTTCCTAACTACTATTTAATAATATCTAATAGGTGAAATATTGTCTACTGATGGTACACATTTACTTGAATAATAACTAATGAATACTCTCTCCGTCCAGAAATGTTCTTCCCGTGTTGACTTGGCACGCTTATTAAGGAATAGTAAAAAAATGCAAAATTTTCAAAAATGCACATACTATAAACTTTTGAATCTTCTTTTATTATTAAAAAAGTATTAAAAAAGTAGATTTGTGATAAAACAGAAGGGTATTATTGATATTTAGCCTTAAAAAGCATACTAAAAAAGGAAATGGGAAGAATATTTTCGGACGGACCAAAAAGAAAAATGGGAAGAATATTTCCGGACGGAGGGAGTAATAAATAATGACTCATGAATAATGACCAATTATCCTACATTTGGAAAATAGATACATATGATACTATATTAAGAATGTCATTATATTTTAGTCATTTCTAGGTAAATTTCTCTAAAAGCATACTAAAAAAAGATGGATTATATCGAGATAAAAGCATGCTAAAAAGACGGATTATTGTAACCTTATGCACACTCAATGAAACATGAGCTTTTATTCAATCATTTATTTATTCGGGTAGGGGACATTAATTGATGATTTAGGTAGCAAATAATCCATCATCCAAACTGGATTTGGTTCACAAACCAACAAATTTAATTAATTTAAGCTCCAGGAATCAGAGCCTGTCCAACCCTAAAAGAAGCATAGGCATCAATGCAAGCATACTCAACCTGAGCACCGCTCAGCTCCGCCGCCGCCCAATCGCTCCGGCGAACCTCCTCCGGCTTCGCCACCTCGAGTCCGCATATTTCCCTCGCCAGCCCCTTCAGCCCCGCCGCCCGGTCAAACTTCCCAGGCCATTTCGCCCTCGCCAGCTCCCGGAGGTCCGCCACCTTGGCGCACCCCAGCCCGTACTCCGCACTCAGCTTCGCCACGTCACCGGCAACCTCAACGCCCGCAAACACGAACGTGGGGTCCGCCACGAAGCGCTTCAGTGCTTCAGGGATGGCTTCGGCGTGGACGAGCTGGAAGACGAGGCACCTGATGTAGTATGTACGGGATTATGCTCCGCCGGGGAGTTATATTGAGGTACGCAACAATTTGTTCGTCTAATTATTTCATTATTACTTACTTGGTTTTAATCATAGTGTGTGTGTGTGTGTGTATCATTTACGTACAGCCAAGTGCGAAATTCTGGAAGGAATTCGAAGAGTATCGACACGGGCAACTAAAGGAGTTGGAGTTTCGCGGTTGGCTTGGCGTGAAAGCCGACTTTGAGCTTGCAAGGCTTTCGCTTCGAGTTGCAGATTCTCTCAACAAGATTGTCATTGATATTCGTTCCCCGCTTCACCCAAATTTCCCCCCGGATAAGAAACTCTATCCACACAAAAAATGCAAAAACGGGTGCCCAGAAGCTGGCGCGACACGTACCTGCTGGTGTGGATCTACAACTCATTTGATTTCATTATCTCTCTTATTGTTTTTGTGTTTTTTTTTAATTTGTCAGTCTCACCGAACTAAGGTCTGAAAGACAATGTTGTTTTTTGAAAACACAGACCTCAACTGCTACAGCTTTATTTGTGACTGTGAAGAGTTTTTCATGTTGTCAATTCTGATTTATGTTATTTATTAAGTACTCGTTTTGTTATGAGTATACTGTTGATGAATATTTTTTGACTATATATCATAAATGGTCCTCAATAATATTCTCTAATTACTACTCATAGTCATTTTTTTTGTTTCATTTCACCTCTAGTCATTTTTTACACGTTATATTGTCATCCACTCATTAATCAAGTGGATTATAGGAGTGATGGAAGACTATTTGTGAAAAGAAAAAAAACGGGAACTATTCTTTTAATATTTGATTTGTAGAGACTAAAAATAAAAAAAATGACCAATAAGTCTTGAGTATTTTTAAACGGGTGTAGAAAAATATAATGCACCTGCAACAAGTAGCCTTCACATTCCAATTGTTTAGGTTCAATTTGGTATATGGAACCAAGGCTATAGAATTGGAATAGGAAATTTTAATTTCATTTTCGTTGTTTGGTAGCAAAAAAAGCGTAAAATTGTAATTGACTTCTAATTTCAAATCTTCAAATTCAATATTTTGAATTCCATAGCACATGAAGAGAATTGAAAAATTCAAAAGTAAATAAAAATTTGAAACTTAAAATTTTTCATTTAAAATTTAGAATATTAATTTTAAATTTTAAATTTTAAATTTTAAATTTTAAACTTTAAACTTTAAATTTTAAATTTTAAATTTTAAATTTTAAATTTTAAATTTTAAATTTTAAATTTTAAATTTTAAATTTTAAATTTTAAATTTTAAATTTTAAATTTTAAATTTTAAATTTTAAATTTTAAATTTTAAATTTTAAATTTTAAATTTTAAATTTTAAATTTTAAATTTTAAATTTT